GGCTCACATGTAGAAATTATCAGTTCTTTCCACCTTGCAGGTTCCTGGGATCAAAAACTTGCTGAGCCATTTCACTTGCCCAAATCTCTTCTCTTTAGATTGACATTTAATCCATTTACATTTATTGTAATTGCTGCCCTTGACTTCTGTCACTGCTGTTGATATATTTTGTGTCTAATGCTTCTGTTCCTCATTTCCTGCTTTACTCTCTGTTTAGATGCTTTTTAAAAATGATTTATTTTCATTTTATATGTGTGAGTGGTTTTTTGTGGTCGTTGTTGTTTTTATATGTATGTATGTGCACTGTATGCATACCTGGTGCCTGCAGATGTCAGAAGAGGGCTCTGGATCCCCTGGAACTAGAGTGGTGGACAGCTGTGAGCTACCTTGTGGGTATTGGAAACCAAACTCAGGTCCTCTGCAAAGAGCAACCAGTACTCTTTAACTACTGAGCCATCTCTCTCTAGCCCCTTTAGTTGATTTTGCAATGAAATGTTTAAATTCCTTTTTTATTTTCTTCTTGTGGATATCCAGTTATCTTTTTGTGTGTGGTTACCATGTATAGTTTTACACTTGTCATCCTCAATCTTTATATTTTAATTTGAACATGAGCTAGTTTAACTTCAGTGGTACTCAAAGGTGCCACTCCTTTGTAGCTCTGTCTCCACTCCTTTTTACTGTTGAGACACCTTGATGACTTGATTTGTTTTGTTTTTTGAGACAGAGTTTCTGTTTAACAGCCCTAACTGTCATGGAACTTGCTTTGTAGTCCAGGCTGACCTTGAACTCACAGACATCTGCCTGCCTCTGCCTTCCGAGTGCTGGGATTAAAGGCGTGTGCCACCACTCCTGACTCCTTGATGACATTTTTTATACACGTGCATCCCAAAACAAAAATGTAAAACTCCCTTGAATATGTTTAAGTTAGGTAGAAAACAAAATGTGGAGTAGCCTGGTGTTTTACGGAACACAGCTTTAATGTCTGACTCTGCATTGTCCTTTATGCGGATCTTTGATTCTTCATGTGACTGTGTGACTTCTAATCTCTGCCTGTCCCTTGATTTCATAGTGTAGTACAGAAGCCTGCATACTAACACTGATTACCTGGGTGTGTGTGTGTGTGTGTGTGTGTGTGTGTGTAATATTATGGGGCGGCAGCATGTCAGTCCCAGTTTTCACTTGCTCAAGTCAATTTTAGTATTTCAAGCAAGGTACAATGCTGTTTCTAGAAATGTTTTGTTCTGTGTATTTTTCTTTGGATATGGCAGTCGGGTGTGTGCCCACCCTGGGTTTGTGCACTCTTCTAATTGCTACTGGGTTACAAAGCAGCGTCTGGGAACTTTGTATAAACACCTTGCAGGCTCAGTCCCCTCCCATCTCACTGAGGTAGTCTGTTTGAATTTTAACAGAAAAGGTGCTTAGGGGATGTCATTAAGATACCCCACTTTGCTGTGTGTGCCCAGGGCACCATTGCCAGATACATGTGTGCCCATGAGGGCAGCTCTCAGACAAAGGTCGAAGGCTGGCTTCAAGCTGTTCTAGTGCTACGGCTGCAATGCTTGCCTTGTAACTGTTGCCTGCTGGTTTCCCCTCAGGCTTTCTGTGTCATTTTCACCTGCTTCTTTGCTGTGCTGTTATGCATGTTTCTCTTGACTCTTTGTTTTTGACCTAACTCAAGCCTGTCTTCTACCTGAGAATTTATAGTGTATTCAGATTGCTGGTCCACCTGAACTCAAACCACCTTTAATGATGATTTTTTTTTTTCCCCTGACTTTTGCCTTTTCCTTGCTCTGGATTGGTTATAGTTTCTCAATTCCACAAGGACTCTGAGTATCTCTTAAAATGGTTCCATTCAAGGTTTCACAAAACTACACTCCAAGGCCCCATTCCACACTGAGTCTGATGCCGCTCATCTCCCACAGCTCATCGGAGCCAGACCTAGGTGGATGTAATAAAAGTCTCCATGCCAGTTGCTTAGTTCAAATAACTCCCTTGAGCCTTTCTCCACAGCAGTTTGGACAGTCTCATGCTGGAATGCTGGTTGGTCTTGTACCCCTGGCTTCTGCAGCTATCTGCTAGGTGACCATTGGGTACCCAGGGTGGGTCTAGCACAGATGTTACTTACCATCCACCCTTGGCCCCCATGCCCCCACACAGCTGCTACATCTGTTTGTGTCTGAATAGACCCCAGAAGTTAGAAGCAGGAAGGGGCTGCCAAGATTCCCTCTGACTCAAGGGAAACGTTTGTTTGAGGAGCCAGTTTCTCCAGAAGGTTCCATAGCAGTTGCTTGCTTGGCAGCTGGGAGTCTCAGACACACTCTCCTCTGGTGCTGGGCTGGAAGTTACCTCATAGTGCCATCTCCCTGAGCTCTAGGAGCTCCAGGTGCACATCCGGAACTCAGGCCTGGGCACAGCTGCCTCAGTCTTAGTTCTACAGGCTTAAGAGGCCAGACAGAACAGCGACAGGCTACCATGGCCTGAGCCTTGTACACAACAGCTCCCAGAGCGTGTGTGGGGAAAGCCAGAGGCCAGCCCAGGGATGGATGCACAGTCAGTCCCCAGACCACATCCCTGGGAGAGCCAGTTGTCAAGAAGCGGGGCCCTGGTTGTCAGAAGCAGGACACATATAGGATGGCAGGCCTGCTCCATTGCGTTAGAGGAGTAGAGTACCCCTGGGCAGTCCATGGGATACTGGCTTAGTTGGAGACCATTCTCCAGGGTGGGCAGACTGGGTTGACCAGGAGCCTTGTTGAGGGAGGGACTGTCACCTGCTTAGAAGAGCCCTCTTGTTCCAGTGCTGATGATCCATCCTGCCAGGGTCCCTGTGAAAGGTCTTCTTCTCATGACATTTGTCATTCTGAGCCCTCGCCAAAGTCAAGCCTTGCCAAATAGATGTACCGTCTGCCCTCGATGTTCTTGAACCAGGTCCTGCTGGTGAGGTTGGCAGTGAAGGTGCTGGGAAGTCAAGTGTCTGGAAAGTTGCACTTCAGCCTAGGAAGTGGACTGGCTGTTGTTCATGGTGGGAGGCTGACAGGGACTCCTGTACCATCAGGAGCCTGGTCCAGTCAGATGGGAGTACCAGGCAATCTCCCTACTGGTCCCTCCAGAGCCAGGCTTTGGCTGTGCTTGTGTGTGTGTGTGTGTGTGTGTGTGTGGGTGCTGGCTGCACTTGGTTCTACACATAGCTAAAGGGTGTGCGTGTTTAAACACAGACTGTGCAGAGCTGTACCTGCTCACTTCGGGGGAGGTGGCGTTAACCAGGCAGGACCCCCATTCCTGGATCTGAGGTCAGGTAGGTGACTAAAGGAGTCTCAACTTGTGAAGGGGCCACCGTCCTCTAGAAGGCCTCTCAGAGCATGGCACAGGCCTTGCTCCGTCTAGGAGAATGAGCTTCCTGGCCTAGGCAGCCAGGCCCTCCCCCCATCACAATGCTGTAACAGAGAACAGATCCAGTGATCTTATTGCCCTGGCATTTGGCATCTCCTCTCAGCAGAGCCAAAAAGACTTTCACAGAAAGGAAATGGAAGGACTTGGGAAGAGCTGGCTGTAGGTCTCTAAGGACCCAGGGGTCATCATGGAACACACTGGTGCCTTCCAGCCCAGGAAGCCAGCAGCTGTAGCGTCCTGTGTGCTGGGCTAGTGGGGCACCAGGGATTTGTGCTGTCCAGAAGGGAGGGGCAGAGTGGCCTCATCTCCAGTACCCAGGCAGCGTGCATGACATGGCTTCAGTACTTCAGTGTGGACTCTGAGTCCCAGCACTTCTGGTGAGAAGGGAACACTGTAGCTGTTGCTTGTGACAGATCACTGGCTGTCCAAGGCTAGCCCATCAGCCTTCTCTGCTCTCAGTTTGAAGGCTACAGATACTCAGTTCTTGCAAGCCATGCCCCCTCCAGGCCGGGTCCACTCTGCACCTGGCCAGCACCGTGTCTGGTTGGCACTCAGGGATTAAGGAACTTGTGACAGTGTGAGGCTTACAGGGACCCTTACAGCCAGTCAGGCTGTCTATGTGACACACAAAGCTGTCCTTTGTCCCCCGAGGGATATGCTCTATGGCGGCTTTTCTTCTGGTTTCAAGGGACTTGGTGACTCATCTTGTCCTGTGAAGTCGGGGGTTCAGCATTTCCCATCTCATACTCTGTAGGGACCTTGTCATTCCAGCCCTACAGCTGGAGCCTGACCTGAGGCATGGTGTCTTTACACACTTGCATCCTACCAAGCATGCCTGGCTCCATCTGTCTCCTCTTAGAAAATCTCTTGACCATGAGCACCCGCTTCCAGGCTTTGTAATGCTATGCTGCTTGAGTGACCTTGGTAGCCCTTGCCTAATGACAGGGATGGCTCATATAGCTGTGTCCGACTCAAGATGGCACTAGGAGGGAAGTCAGTAAGTGAAACGGGTCTCTGTCTACCCTGGAGCACTTTAGAAGAGTTGTGAATCTGGGAGAGTCTGTGCAGGGCTTCAGCTGCAAGATGCCATACGCCTTCAGCACCATAGTGTGGCTACAAACTTCAGGGAGCAGAGGTGGCTGAGGAAGAGCTGTCCTGTCTTCCTGCCCTGTAACCTATCCCGAGGCACAGGCTTGTGGGGAACCAGAGAGAGTTCGACCTTAACTTAGAAACCATAATGACCAGATGAGACCTGGGGAATCCCACTTTGGAGCCTGGCCATTGGAGTCTCCCAGGTTTGATCTCTCTCGAGCTGGCTCCCAGGGCAGGTGGAGCTTCAGGCAGGAGCACCGTGTGTCACCTCCTCTCTCTTTGCCATAGAGAGGTCTTACTGCAGAGTCGGAGTGGGGGGACTTCGTGCCCCAGCTCCTCACTCCCGTCTTGGGATATTTGCTTTGGCCTGCGAGCCCATGGAGGCAAGGAGAGACCCAAAGAGAGGGCCACATAGGCCTGGGTAAGGGGTGGTTACATGGCCTGTGTCTCCTAGGATGGATGCCACTGGGACCCTGTCTTTTCCTGTGCAGCCACCTCACCAGGTGTCCTTCTCTTTGCAGAGGATTTTGCTGAGGAGGTGGGGCTGCCACAGCTCCTCGGGGACCCTCTGCCCCAGCAGATCTCACAAATCGACGACCCTCAAGTCGGGCCGGCCTACATCTTTGGACAGGACTCCAGCAGCGGCCAGATGGCCCAGCACCACTTCCCTAGACTCTTCTTCCGTGACTTTTCACTCCTGTTTCATATTCAGCCAGCCACAAAGGCTGCAGGGGTGCTGTTTGCCATCACAGACGCTGCGCAGGAGGTGGTCTCGCTGGGTGTGAAGCTCTCAGGGGTGCAGTATGGACACCAAAACATCTCACTGCTCTACACGGAGCCCGGTGCCAGCCAGACCCAGATAGGTGCCAGCTTCCGCCTACCTGCATTTGTTGGCCAGTGGACACACTTTGCACTCAGCGTGGATGGAGGTTCTGTGACTCTCTACGTAGACTGTGAAGAGTTCCAGAGAGTGCCGTTTGCGCGGTCCCCACAGGGTCTGGAGCTGGAGCTTGGCTCTGGCCTCTTTGTGGGTCAGGCTGGAGCAGCTGACCCTGACAAGTTCCAGGTAACTATGCTGCCCCACTGTGTGCTGATCCAGGGGAGGAGGGGGCCATGGGAACCAGGGAAAGTAGGTTTCTCCAGTTGATGCTGCAACCTGGTACAATAGCCCACACTTCCCCTCTTGTGCCTGGAGTAGCATCTGCTCCCCCAACTCTTACTTAATCCTTTGGTACCCTGGAAGCATCACACTGGGATTTTGTGAGTTCTCTGAGACCCCAGGGTCCACTAGTTGACTGATGGAGGTCATCTCTTCTCGGGTTCCCATCCTGAGTTGATCCAGACCCTCTTCTCAGGTATGAGCTGGGGCCTGTGGTAAGCTAGAGACACCAAGTGTAGATCAGGAGAGTGTGTGGCTTAGTCCGGGCTCAGCTATTCCACCTGAAAAACAAGTGCTTAGGCATTTTGTGGAAAAACAGGCTTGGGGACATACACCTGTAATACCATTTGGCAGCTGGAAGGAGAATGATCTAGAGTTCCAGGTCCGTTTGAGACCCTGTCTCAAAACAACAAAAATTACTCATTTAAAGCCAGCCACCCATAGGGTCTTTCTTTGACTATACACACACAGTAGAGGGAGCACCCTGCTGGCAATGGGGCCTGAGACTTCACATAACAGACCTGCTTAGGTCAGCCATTCTGGGCTGTTTATTATTTTAATGAAGACTTACTCCGGACTCACTGGGCGACAGTGACAGACTTGTGGCTCTCTCCCATGTTCACTAGGAAAGTCCCTCCCTTCTGGGTCCTCGTTCCTCGTAGGAGGGCACTTTTCCTGAGATCCCAGCTGGGAGCCCAGCCTCTTGGGAACAAGTGCGTGGGGACCCTCAGCTGGCACTGACTCATGCATGGCTCCTGAATTCAGTACTCCAGCCATTAGCAGCTGGACACCCCTGCCCAACCCAGACAGGGGTCCCTGTGTGTGCAAGGAAAGACATGTGCCCAGGGGACAGACACTCAATTATGACCCAGACAAGGGCCTCCTGTTGTAAGTTGTTCTAAGTCCGGTGTCCACAGCCCTGGAAGCTGACCTTCTACCTCTGGCAGGAACTTTTAACCCACGGGGTTCAAGAACTGCCCGGACTTTGGCACCAAACTGGGCCCCTGTGTTTTCTTTCTGATCTTCAAACACGATTACCAGAAAACTGAGCGTCACAGTTTCCAGAGTGGGACATTGGTGCTGTGTGTCCCCATCACTTTCCAAGGGGGTGGCAGACATCAGAGGTTCTGTATGTCTCCTACTTCCCCAGCAGAGCTGGGTGAGGAATAGTGAGCATGAGACTACTAAGGGCACTGCCAAACCCAGTGGTGCTGATGGGGGCCCACAGACACCCTGAGTTGGGTGGCCTCATCACTGGCTGGGCCTTGCCAGGCTGTGTAAAAGAGGTTTGCCAACTGGATATGCAGACAAGCTGTGTCTGGCCATTTTCATTTTTGTTTCTTGGTGTGTTTGTGAATGCAGACCTTTCCATTTATTTATTTGTTTACTTATTTATTTATTTGCTTTGGGTTTTGGTGGGGAATTCAGCCATTTCTTATTGATTTATACAGCTCTTTATATTTGAAAGAAACTTATCTCTGGCTGTGTATGCACAAATTTTATATCCCAGCCTGCCATTTGTCTTTTCACTTAAAAATAACAACATTGGGACATTTAGAGTGTTTATTTGGTTAATTTGTGTCTGGAGAGAGAGAAAAAAAAAACCCACCACAACCTTTGACATGAAAACTCTTTGGTGGTTGGAGGAGGGAGGCGGAGAGCATTCCCGGACCTGTGCTGGTCTTTGCCTCCCCAGCTGACCTCAGCAGTCTGACTTTGCCTGCTCCTGTAGGCTGGGTCTCGAGGTCCTTTCCATTTAAATCACACCCCGGCTGGAGCGAGGGAGATGTGCCAGTGACAGAAGATAGTTAGATGTTGCACAAGTTGCATGTGCAGACTTGGTGCTGAGGTCTTTGGGGGAGGAGTCATTGTGTCATGCGATTCATGGCATGACCGAAGCTAGCCCAGAGCTCTGGGAGTCAGGGAGCCAGGGAACTGGGGAGCCAGAGCATTGGGAGCCGGTGGGATGGAGAGCTAGGCATCCTCTGAGCCATCTTCAGTGAGGACACTGCCTCACCTGCATCCCCACACTGCCAGGGAGAGCCGGGCTGTGCCTCCAGCCTGGTCCTTGCTGGGTGACAGTCCTCATTTGTCTTCCTGTCTGTCCCTTTGAGTTTGGTCATGAGCGTCATACTGGTTATCAGTTTTCCTAAAGCATGGCTTCCTACTGTACTTTAGCATGGGTGTTCTGTTCGTTATTTTGTGTCCTGCAGTTATAATTCCTCTTGACTATTTTTTCCTGCTGGAGATGCCTCTACTTCTTCTCATTCTCTTGGTTTTCTTTTGTCTTTCTTTCCCAGTGTTGGGGTGCTAGGGAGGATTCAATCCAGGGCCTCCCACATGCTGGGTCATCCCCATTGGGCCCAGACTAGCCCCCCTCCTCTCTGTGTGTGCATGCATCTTCTTGGCTTAAGGTTCCTTTTCTGGTTCTCTTTCAACCCCAGCACCTCCCCGACCCTGGTATCTTTGACCCCAGGAGAGACCCTGTAAGCACAGCTTGCTTTCCCAGTGTTCTCATTTAGCTGTGAGCATCTCAAGGTTCAGTTCCTTTATCTAGACTTGAGGCTGTGAATTTTCCTCAGGGTGCAGCTGTGGCTCCACCATGGATGATGGGTGTGCTGGTGCCATGAGGTGGCCCCAGCCCCCGATGGGCGACATCAGACCTGGCCTCCCGTACGAGGGATGGAGCAGCCAGCAGCGCCCCAACCATTTTCCTGTTCCTAGTCAAGGAGAACGGAGCACTCATGGGTCTACTCTCAGTCCAGCTCTCAGGGTGCTCCTCAGCAGTCTGTCCCACCAGCTCCTGCTCAGTGTTCTCGTGCATAAAGCTCGGCAGACACCTCTCCTATGCAGCTGAAATGAGAGTCGCCGTGGCGGGTACATGGTCACAGCATGTGTGCCGCGTCCTTCCTGGGCATCTGAAGAGACCAGAGGAGGCTGGCTGTGATGAAGTGGCCTATTGGGATCTGGTCACAGGAGACCTGAAGCCAGAGGCCCATAAAGCAGTGGGGGAATGAGTATGAAGGCCGCAGATGTTAGCAAATAGAGCAGGCAGCATGGCTGGGTCACAGGGCAGCAGCAACTAGGCTGGTCATGGAGGGAGAGAAGAGAAGGAGGGGAAGATGGGCTGAGGAAAAAGGGGCGGGGCAAAGAGGCCACCCTGAAGGCCACAGGGAAACCAGGACATGAGAGCAAAATAGCTGGTGGCCCCACAGCATAGCTTCAGCCTCTGACCTCTGCTAGCTGGTGTACTGCAGGTCCAGGGGAGCAGAGACAGTGTGTGAGCCTCCTGCTGGTCACTTCCCCATGGCTAAAGCACTGCTGGTTGGTGTGGCAGGAAGAGTTTCACGTGGCACTTATCTATAAATGTTCACAGTCCCCCAGTTTCCAAGGTCCGGATTGCACAACTTTTAGGTCCAAGTCCGTTAAATATTTGCAGTGGGTCTTGTGGCTTTTGTACAACTGACATCGTCCCCGTTAGCTGTTGGGAAAACTGCAGGCAGGGGGAGGCGGGGAGTCACAAGGGCAGGACACAAAAGCTGAACTCAGTGCAGACACAAGCCCTGTCCACCCTCTGGAGGCGTCTTCCAGATGCATGCACCCCACAGCCTTGTTGGTTGAGTGTGTGACACAGTCCGCCCGTCTGTGGGGAATGAATGCTATGTGTCTGCTGCTGAGACCTCGGGAAATGTCCCTGGCACCAGCATTGTCCTTAGGAAGCAGTTTTCTAGTGTTTAAACCCAGCTGGGGGCTCTCAGCTGTCACCATGGCACCTGCTGCAGCCACTCTTGAGTGGGCTTCTTAAGGTGTCCATTCTGTCCCCAGATGCTGCGTTGACTGGGAAAGCTCGCTGGCAGGAAGTGTGTGTCTCCTTACCTCTCAGGCTAGGACCCAGCTAGGGATGGAGGTGGGGACAGGGAGGTGTGTTGAGTATCAGCTGATGAAAACATTCGGGACATTGCCTGGAATAAACAGAATAAACCTGTCAACACAGCGTGGGCCAGCCTGCTCCCACAAGGCTCCCAAGCTAGAATGATGGTTACCTTTTCAAATGGCTGGGATAATCAACAAGTCATTTTGTGACATGTGGAATTTGGTATGAAATTCAGATTTCAGTGTCTCCATGTCAAGTTTCGTTAAGACAGTCACACCCTTCCCTTAGTATTGCTATTGTTCATACAAGCCAGAGGGAGGTAATTCTCGTCAGGCCACATAGAAATCTGCCTGCCTCCATCCACTCAGACCTGGCTGTGACAGGAGTTGTTAGAAAGCCACTTTGGAATAGAGGAATTGCCGTCTTTTATTTGGTAAACTGAAATTAGCATAATAGAAGCTTTCAGGTGCCCTCAGACAGACAACCTGGAGCCCGTGTAAGAAACAGCGATCTAGACAGGAAGCATGAGGCCATGGCTTGCCTCAGAAACTGCCACAACTTGAAAGCCATTGAATAAGTCTTCTTCTTAGTCCTGTTGACAAAGGGAGAGTCCTTGGTAGTAGCATCAGGCTAGGCTGGAGGCCAGCATGAGTCAGAGGCTTTGCCAGAGCACCTGCCTCCAGAGCCCCAGGGTCTTACTTTCTCTCCCTGTTTTTGTAACCAAATATCTGACCAGAAACCACTTAAGAAAGGAAGATAAGTGTTTATTTTGGCTTTGTGGTTTGAGAAGCGATGGTCTGTGAGGGAGAGCATGGTGGCGGAGACATGAGGCAGCTGGTCACATTGCAGTCGGGAAGCAGAGAGTGGACAGGAAGGAGAGTGGGGCTGTGAAATGCCAAGGCAGAGACCTAATTCAGTGAGCTTCCTCCTCCTCCAGATCCCACGGCCTTCCCAAACAGTGCCACCAGCTGGCAACCGAGTGGCTAAACGCCCGATCCACTGAGCAACATTGCATTTTCAAACTAATGACCTTCTGCCTCCGTCTAGGGGAAGATCTCAGAGCTGAAGGTACGACAAAACCCCCGGGTGAGCCCCGTGCTCTGCTTGGATGAAGACGGTGATGATGAAGACAGGGTGAGTGGCTGTGGTGGTGGTGGGGTCTCCCCACTGCGAGCAAGGGTCCCAAAGCGATATGCTGGGAACAAACCAAAAGATGCAAGTAGGAACCTATGTGTTCAGACACCACCCCTGCCTTAACTTTCCTCTTCAAACAATCTGGGAATCGTAAATGTCAGAGACCAACCCACAGCGACACAGTGTGATATAGGAGTCACACCGTGGAAAGTGCATGTGTGCTTGGTGGTATGTGTGTTTATGTGCTTTGTATGATGTGTGTTTATGGGGGGATATGTCTATCTGTTGTGCGATTGTGCGTCTCTCTTGGTGTGCTGTGTGTGTCTGTTGTATGGTATGTGTGATCTCCTTCTATGTGGTTTTCTCTGTTGTGTATGTACCTTTTTCTTTCTTTTGGTCTGCTGTGTGTTGTCTCTCTGTGCACATCTATGTTATATGTGTGGCGTGTGAGCCGTGTGGTGTGTGTGTCTCTCTGTGTATTCTGTGTGCTGGGCATCTTTTGTATGTGTGGGGTGCCTGCTGTGTGGTCTGTATGCACTATGTCTCCGTGTGCTGTGTCTCCGTGTTGTTTGTGTGTGCATGTGTGCAATATCATGGCACCCGAGGAAAACAATCCACTTGTTACCCGAGGACAGGATTGGAGGTGGCAGGTGTCTCAATGGAGACAGCACACGACAACACCCCAATCCCCAATTCTCCTTGGACAGAGACTGATTGTGTTTGACTGGGAGTAAGTAGTGGAGTATGTCTACCTTACACTCCTGTTTTTATATTTTACTTCCAAGATGCTTGTTGAATTTTCTTTTATTCTAGCCCCACGTTGGAATGCCAAGATGTTGTTGTTTTACCCTTTGGTTCTTTTGGGGGCCTACCACCCAGCTACCAAATAAATCAAAACCAAGGCTTATTGTTACTTATAAATGGCCAGACCTAGCTTAGCTTATTTCTAACCAGATTTTCTTAAATTATCCCATCTACCTTTTGTCTCTGGGCTTTTTTCTTTTCTTTCTTCTGTAATCTTACTTTCACTCTTACTCCATGGCTGGCTGTGTGGCTGTGTGGCTGTGTGGCTGTGTGGTTGGCCCCCAGTGTCCTCTCCTTGTTCTCTTGCTCCTTCTTCTCTTCCTCCCAGATTTCTCCTTCTATTTATCTTCTCTGCATGCCAGCCTCGTCTATCCTTTCTCCTGCCTTGCTATTAACCGTTCAGCTCTTTATTAGATCAATCAGGTATTTTAGACAGACAAAGAATCACAGCTTCACAGAGTTTAAACAAGTCTAACACCAAAGAATGCAACACATCTTTGCATCATCAAAACAAATGTCCCACAGTGTAAACAAACATAACACATCTTAAAATGATATTCCACAACAGCTATTGCTTTTCCCAGAAGAGAAATCAGAAATGTAATTGGCTTCCATCTGTCTCTGGTGGAGGGTGGCCATCCACTCCTGAGGATGCCACCCGTGAACTTGCCCACATGCTGCCTGTTCTGGGTGTCTGCATGCCCATCCCACCTGGGCCATCTTGATATTGAGGTGTCACCATGGGCTCTATGGGCTCAGGTAGTATTTCTCCTCTGGTTTATATTAAGTCATTTACCTTGGTATGAGGAAAGGCTGGCCTCTGGTTTCCCCAGAGCTCCTGGAAGCTGTAGGGAAGGGAGAGCATGAAGGCAGCCAGTCCAAGCAGATGATGGGTGGGGACATAATTATGATGGACCTATACTCCACATAGGTTTCTTCAGTGTCAGCCTGGATTGGAGCTGCTTAGGACACCTTCGCACCTGCCTTGCCTGTCCCCTAGGGATGGCACCCTAGGACAGGGCAGCCATGTCACAGGACAGGAGTGCACAGGCCTGATCTGCAATCTTCTGGAGGGCAGGTCATCCTGGCTTGCCTGAGCTGCGAGTCTGGCTGACTTCAACCCAGCAGGAATCTTATTTGCTGTCCAGTTGCTGCCCTGTCATGGGGCATCTGGTCCTGACTTCTTCCTCACTTCTCTCACACCCTGCAGGCGTCTGGGGACTTTGGAAGTGGCTTTGAAGAAAGCAGCAGGCCACACAGGGAGGAGGTGAGTGTCTGTATATGGAGAGGCCATCCCCTGGTTCAGACAGGGGAGGGACAGATATGGTCTGTACATAGTGTGCACAAGTGTGTGTGACATCCCAGTAGTCCCTTTATCAGGGAGATACATGCCCAGCAGGGAGGGACCAGTCTGAGGTTGGCTTTGTATTACCTCCCTGGCTCCACTACCTCTTGCCTTGAGCAAGAAGCTCTTCTCTGCAGAGCTTTCTCAATACAGGTTACCCAGCATTTTGTAGATGCTGTTGGCTGGTATGAGGCCATAACTGGTTTGTGTGTCTAACGTGAGGTCAAGACAAGTGGTGTTGTGGGGAAGTTTCTGGAAAGCCAAATTGCATGCTTTTTCCAGTCCAGGGTCCCAAGAGCACAGAAGGACTCCGGATATGGAAAGGATGTTTGAGTGACCCCCGGGGCCCCTCTGTAACCCCCAGAATCTAGTTTGCAGAATCTGTCTTTAAAGTGGACCTTGGGTGTCAGGGCCAAGAAGACTGCAGGAAACCAAGTAGCTCAAGGATGGCCAGCACTCCTAGAAGAGGTGTTGAAGATTTTTTGACTTGTGTACTAGGGCAGGGACAGGCAGGTTTTAGGGACAGGAGACACAGCCATCTGAGGCTGCCTTCTGTGTCCCTTGATGGCCATAAGCCTTCTCCTCACAGATGTAGCTTAGATTTGCAAACTTCTGCTTCTACACAGGGTGCCCTGGACGTGGCAGATGCTGGAAATACAGATGTGCCTATGAGCGCCATGCCACACCAGTACTGCCCTGTCTGTAGACCAGAGACTGCTAATAACTAGTGTGAGCACTCATACCTCATCCTTCCTTGTGACCTGCTCACTCCAGTTAGGAGCCTGGCAACTGTGAGGGGCTCCCAGGCTCCCCGAAGGGCCTGGCTAATCTGAGGGTCCATGTGGACGCTTCCCTCCAGAGGACTAAAGTTGTGAACATCTGGTGTCACATGCCCACCCTGGTCTGTGATGTCTGGTGTGACAGTGGCATCAAGAGTGTGCAGGGGAGTCCTTGTTCAAGCCCCAACACTACCCCAGCCAAAGTACTCTCCAGGGCCCATCTACCTGGACTACACTGTCACTGATAGGACGTCACTGGGAATATAGGTCGTGCTGCTGGGTGCCACGAGGTCCCTTGGTGGAGCATTTGAAACTGAGCACAAGGCAGAGGATCTGCAGGGTAGGACCAGCTGCCTCCATTAGGACAGTAACAAGTCATTGCTGGGCCAGTGCTTGGGCTGGGACTGAGGGAGAAGTCTCTATCATGACCCTTAGTGAGAATTCACCTGCTCCAAACACCCTACTGTGACACCAGGGGACCCCACTTTAGGCATCTTCCTGTAGCCACAGGAAGGAAGTATCTGTACTAGGCCTGGGAAGGTTCTTTGTCCCTGGTCCTCTGGCAACGTTAAGTTTTAGGTTAAGGACTATTGAGGTGTATGACCCAAACCCAGGCTGATGAAAACCTTCAGCAAATAGCTCTGCAGGAAATCCTGGGAAATCATTCCAGCTAGAGTGACGGTTTTTTCTTATCTCCTTCAAAACCCTGTAAAGCATTCCATTGCATAAGCCGTAAACCCCACAGCCAGACAGAACTGCCAGCTCATACACGCACGGGATGGTTGCCCTGCTGAATAATACAGCAGGTTTCCTACTCTCCTCTTGCAGGACACATCTCTAGCACCCAGGCTCCCCCAGCCACCCCCTGTCACTTCCCCACCCCTGGCTGGAGGCAGCACCACAGACGATTCTAGAACAGAAGAAACGGAAGAAGAAACCATGGTAGATTCTATAGGAGGTAAAACTTTTCTAGATGTGCTCTCTCTCTCTCTCTCTCTCTCTCTCTCTCTCTCTCTCTCTCTCTCTCTCTCTGTGTGTGTGTGTGTGTGTGTGTTGGATGTGACCTATATCAGGGCCAGCACTGTCCCCATCTGCAGCCCTTTTGCCTTCTAAGAAGGTCCTGTTCAGGCAGGCTCCTGGCTTGTCCCCTGAAGAATTCTGAATGAGACAGTTGTGACATGTCCTTCATTGTCCCATCAGACTCTTGCTCTGTATAGTCTTTGTCTGTCACGTGTAGGAATCTTTCCAGATGTACCATCTCCTGGTTCAGGGCCATCAGGTTTGCTAGGGAAGTGTGAATTGGTCCAAGTGCTATAGAGGAAAATACATCCTTAGTCCAGGCTGTGCCATAGGTTAGCATATAGGGTTGGATGTCTCCCATCAGAGCCACTGTCTTGTAGACATGCATGAGGCTTCTGGTCTGCAGTAGACAGGACAGGGAATGCCTGAGACATGCCAAATATGAATTGTGTGTCTTAGGATGTTCTCTGTGTTGCTGGGTTACAAACCTGGTAACATAACAGCATAAATACCACCTTCCAGCTCTATGGGACTGAAGCACGGTGGGGCCCATGAATGGTCTCCGGGGGTCCCCAGGGCTTCCACAGGCTCTGGGGAGAACAGGCCATGGCTCCCCCTAATGCTGATAAGCCTCAATTACTCACAACTGTGACATACAGGGTCTAGATTTCCACTGGTCACCAGCCATGGCTGCCTTCCTTTAACCCACAAGTCAAGCAAGGCTGGAAGGTAGCCACTTCCTGGCTCATGAGTGGGGACTTACATCCCACCTGGCCTGTGTGAGCCCATGGACCATGAGGTGAGCTCTGCCTTGACTCCCATCTGTCTGTGTTCTGGGATCCCAGGGAAGACAAGAAAACGTGACTCCAACTCTGCCAGGTTCCCCTGGGCAGCCCCATCCCTAACCCATTGTTCTGCCTCTGTCACCATAGACAGTAGTTGTCCTTTCCCAGAACTTCACATGTGGGGGAACACGGTAAGTATCGTCTGGGTTTGCTTGTCACTGTGTCCCTTTTATAAATGACATTCACATTATAGCTAGTCAGTGTGGACAGACTATAATGTATTTGCCCATTTACCTAGCAACAGGTGTATACACTAAGCCCAGCTTGAGGACCCAGAGATGGGTGTATACACTATGCCCAGCTTGAGGACCTAGAGATGGGTGTATACACTATGCCCAGCTTGAGGACCTAGAGATGGGTGTATACACTATGCCCAGCTTGAGGACCTAGAGATGGGTGTATACACTATGCCCAGCTTGAGGACCTAGAGATGGGTGTGTGTATTATGTACAGTTTGAGGACCTAGTGACAGGTGTATACACTGTGTCCAGCTTGAGATGGTTTCAGAGGAAGTTGTTCTGGGTCTTCTGTCTCAGCCACTGCAGAGCCATTTGCAGGTGGTTTGTCTGTTTATCACTCACCCCAGTGTGTGGGAGTCTCTGTACCTCACCTTGGTGAGGGCATTAGACGTGAATATGTTATGGATGTGAGGTGCTCTTGTTTGTGTTACCATGGTGACGAGCATCTTTTCGTGGGCTTATGTCTCAATCCATGTCTAGACCTTATGCCGAATTTTAATGGGCTGTATGGCTTCTTATTGTTGAATTTTGAGACTTCTTTATGTATTCTGGATCTAAACACAGCCATTGTCTTCATATTCTCTCTCTCTCTCCCCCTTTAAAGGCATACACCACTATCACCTGGCTCCCTTCCTTTCTTCTTCTCCTTATATCCTACCCTCTGAGGGTATGGATATGTACTTATCATATCTGTGTAGATATCTTTATATTATATGTAAATATATAGATATAACATCTATATATAACATCTATAGGTATAGATAGCAATATCTCCATGTACACATGTGTGATTTTATGTGTGTATGTATGTATATATGTGTGTGCGAGCATGTCAAGCTGGTCTTGAACTTGTGACCCTCCTATCTTTGCTTCTCAAGTGCTAGGATTACAGGTGTGAGCCTAAATGTCCAGCCTCATTTCCTCATCTTTAGAAAAACCTAACTTTCTAATTTTTGCTGAAATTCAAAAATCTAGTGTCATCTGAGACTCTGGCCAAGGTGGTCCAAAGGCCTACTTTAATTCTTTAAAAAGCGGTTTCCCTGCCTGTTTTGTCCCCGTTAAATACCCATTTGCCTCCCTGAGCTGGCTCTGAGATGTGGGAAGGCAGCCTCCCACACCTGAGTCTATTTCTGGCCTCTATTCTGTGCTGTAGGTCTCCACGCCCATCTCTCTGTACCCTCGCCATCTGTCTCTCTGAACCATGAATCTTTGCTCATCTGTGTGAGCCATGGCTCTCCCTGCCTGTCTTGGCTGTATGCTCTGCTTTCACCTTGTCCTCACCAGGTACTTCCATCTGTCATTCGCATTGCAATCTCAGGGTGTTTGCATGTTCACCTGAATTGTGGACTTGTGGTTGTTGCCATCCACACATCCACAGAGAAGAAAAAGCGGGCTGGAGTTTTGATGGGGAAAAGTAATGACCCTTGAGACCCATCTTTGCCTTTTGTTTAGGTCTTGTTTGATTTCTCTTAGCAATGTTTGTATAGTTTTAAATGCCCCTTGAGGCAGTGCTTTTAGGTTTGCTGAACCTGAAGTTCTAGGAACGCCTTGCTGCTGCAGGGAAAGCTCATGCTGCCCTCTTGTGGTCAAATACGGTAGTTGGCTCCTGCAGTGAGGGCTGTTTGACTGTGGTAGATGGGGACGGCTGGGTCATCCTGATTAGATACCTGGCTTACTCCTTACTAAGCAAATGATGAACCCATAACAGGGTGTGGGCAAAGACCATCAATAGTGAGCGCCCCTCCCCCAGAGACCGCTATCAGCCTCATAGGCTAAAGGAGTGGCAGTCCCTAGAACCCTGGGAATTGGTAAGAGGGGTGAGCATGCTCTTTGTGTAGCTCATGGGGGTGGGGTGGCTGCAGATCTTCAATCCTGCCGGGCACTGAGCTCAGCCAGGAATAGCTATGTTAGCATCAATTCTAACCCAAGAGGGGGCCTCTGTGCCCCAGCCAAGGGGCACTAGATGCTTCTAAATAGTGCTCAAGAATTAAAGCCCTCTGTTGGTCTCTAAGAGATGGGACATGTTGATGCAGCAAAATTTTATACTGCCTGCTGCTAGTGAGATGTTGTTAGAATCCATCTCCAGGCATCACCCCACAAGTGTCTTAAGGGGATGGTACAGCAGACAATTAGGAAGGACCAATCATGTGGTCCCAGTAAAGATGGGCTCCTAAACCATAGCAGGTACCCAAGATGAGGGAAGGGAAGACAGAGGAAGGAATGACAACTGATAGAGTTAGCAGACATCTATTTCAGGCTTGGGGTCACCCAAGTTTCTGTGGCATTTTCTGTTTCTTTAAGTGTTTCTTGTTTGTACACATCTGTAAGAACCGCTCTTAGCTCAAAGACTGTCCCAAACCAGGCAGTGTGCTCACTGGGCTGAACTTTGGCTCCGGTGGCACTTGTGTGTTGGCACACACAGCAGGAGATCCTGGGTTGGCATCTCCATGGTTACTGTCCCCAAAGAACAGCCGGGGAGAGCTGAGTGTGGGCCATTTATTGGGTTCACCACTCCTTCATGGATCCCTGAATTTGGATAACTTGTGAAGGTCAACCTTGCGTTTGGAAAACACCGAAGTAGTCAGGACAGAGGTCATCACAAATGCCACAAATGTCCAGACGGTTCTGCAGAAGAGGAAATGGCAAGCATGTGCCAGTGTGTGTGGATTCATCTCTGTGTGTGTGCATATGTATGTCACATATGCCTTTGTGTGTCAGAGGCACAGTGTGCGTGGTGGGGTCTAGGTGAACATCTGGGATCACCTCTCAGAATTGCTGTTGGCTTTCTGCTTTCCAAATTGCATGTTGGAAGAGGAGAGAGTGGTAAGAGGGAGTTTTGATGGTGAGGTGTTAAACAAACCCAGGAATCATCTTTGAAGGTTTCAGTTGTCACTGGACTTGCTTTGGTGACTTTGGTTCTTTTCTCTTGTTGCCCTTGCTAGATGGCCATTCGCAACCCCCCCCCCCATTCCCATGGCCCCTGTCCTCAGAGTTTTGGGTGGGTGGAATGGCAAAGGGCCGTTCTCATAGCCTCGTCCCTGGGGCTCTTGATGGGTGCAGAAGCAAAGCTTGGGCAGCAAAGCCGAGAGCCTGGGGCTGATCGGAGCTTGACAGAGTCATCTCTACCTCTTCCCAGCTGAGACGGTTCCTGGCACAGGTTCAAGTGGTGCACGGGACGAGAGTGTTCAGAACCAAGGAGGTGGCTTGATAAAGGTGAGGCCACCTCCCCATGACCTTGTCTCAAGGCACTCGGGAACCCTCAGTGGCTTCCATGCTTCTCACTGTGACTTTACAGAAGCCCTCAGCCCACACTCCCTCTGCTGCTCTGTGCCCTACACAGTGCTTCTACAGCCAGCCTGCATCTCTCCCCACCACGAGCCCTCCCTCCATTCCCCCTGGAGTCCTTTCTGAGGTTCATTCCCTAGAGAATGTAGCAGCAGTGTGAGGTGAATTTGTATGCAGGTTGTGGCAGCCTATATCCTCTTTGTCCCTAGGGAGGTCTGAAGGGACAAAAGGGGGAGCCAGGTGCTCGGGGCCTACCTGGCCCAGCTGGTCCCCAGGGTCCTGCAGGCCCAGTGGTCCAGAGCCCTACTGCACAACCTGTCCCTGGAGCACAAGGACCCCCAGGACCTCAGGGGCCACCAGGGAAGGACGGAGCTCCAGGAAGGGATGGTGAACCGGTGAGTGCCAGCCTCCCCTTGTGATCTGTGCTGGAGCTGAGGTCTCTGACTGGGGCTGGTGGGAGAGCTGTCTGGGATCAGAGCAGCAACATTGTTGGATACTGGGATTTCCACCAGCCTTCTGCTGTGCATGGGAGTCAGAAGGTGGTTGGAGCATGGAGGCCAGGCATACCCAAGCCAACTCTGGATCTAAGCACTTTTGCAGAAGTGCTGTCTGTCGTGGGTGTGAGGTCACTCAGGCATTCACCATGACCACGAATAAGTTTTAATAAAAGGATCCTTGGATACTGGGATTTCCACCAGCCTTCTGCTGTGCATGGGAGTCAGAAGGTGGTTGGAGCATGAAGGCCAGGCATACCCAAGCCAACCCTGGATCTAAGCACTTTTGCAGAAGTGCTGTCTGTCATGGGTGTGAGGTCACTCAGGCATTCACCATGACCACGAATAAGTTTTAATAAAAGGAGGTTTGATTAAATAGTGGTGCCGGATACCCACGGCAGGAGGACTGCAACTGAGAGCACTCCTAAGACGCAGCATCTAGTCATATTAGTCCAAGGCTTATAAAGTCAAACCCCACAAGATTACACGTATTCTGTGTATGTGTAGGCAGGCTCTAGTTTTAACATATGTGTCTTGCAGTTGTCTTAATCATTGAGCAGAGTGAGCGAGTCTGATTACAAAAGCAGAAATAGCAGTTGGTCTTATGACCTATCTTAACTGGAACAGCAAATTTTACAAGATCAGTCCATTTAAGAATAGTCTTCAGCCCAGGGATGGTGGTGGTGCATACCTTTAATCCCAGCACTCGGGAAGGAGGCAGAGGCAGGCGGATCTCTGTGAGTTCGAGGCCACCCTGGTCTAGCGAGTGTCAGGACAGCCAGAGCTGCACAAAGAAACCCTGTCTCAAAAAACAGAACAACAAAATACTCTTTAAAGTCTAGATGGGGTGTGTGTGTGTGCATGTTAGAGGATTTTTTTTTTCTTTTTGGTCTCTCAAGCACATAGAGTTATGTTAGTGTTAACCGCCATACTGTCAGCAGCAGACAGCTGCTGCGTTTCTGTGTCCGGTCTTGTGTAGTGGCGGTGGGGCTGTTTCATAGTTGTTTTCTCTTGCACTTTACAGGGTGACCCTGGTGAAGATGGGAGACCGGTAAGTTGTGTCTTTCTCTGCACCAGACACTGTACCGTGTTCCCATAGGATCCACAGATCATCACATACGACACGGGGCGACCATTTCCCAGAGAGGACACTGTAGCGAGGCAGCTTTACTCTAACTGTAGGTGGCTAAAGGGAGGCACAAGGTGACACCAAAGCCACATAGTGTTGTTTCCTGATCTTCAGAGGGGTGGGGGAGCCAGAGTGCAAGAGCTGAGATGGGGTCCTGCATGCTGCCAGAGTGGCCACAGGGAACTCTTTGTACCTAACAGAGCCACACTGAAACTGCACACAGTCAGTTTCTGGAGGTTTCCCTGAGCCCAGTGTGTTCACCAAGGTGGCTTAGATGCATGAGAATCCCGTGTACATACACGCAGTGGACTTACCACTCTGCTGAGGAGATCAGTGGTTGCCACAGTTGATGTCTCTGAAGAGACATCAACTGGATGGCACTGACTATCTCCCAGTCAGTGCCATCCATAGCTGGTGGTGTCACTTTTAAACCCTGGCTTTTTCTTTGGAGTCCCCTTGGTGTTGTGGCCTCTCCTGGCTTATTAGGCCTCCATGAAGCCCTGAAGGGCTTGGTTCCCATCTGCCCCCCTCTCTGGAATGAGAAGCATTTGGGGCTCACAACTCAGTGTGGGAAAGAAGAGAGACGCTTCTCTCTGTTTACCCCCTATGCTTGTCTTCCAGGGTGACACTGGGCCTCAAGGCTTTCCAGGGACCCCTGGAGAAGTGGGCCCCAAGGGTGAGAAGGTAAGTGTGTGCAGACCAGGGCATAACCCGTTTCCTGTCCCAGCTCCTGACTGAAAGTGGGGGCCCTGCATCCTTAGCGTGACAGATTTATCTTATGTTCCAGGGAGATCCTGGTGTTGGAGCTCGAGGACCTCCAGGACCTCCAGGGCCACCAGGACCCTCCTTCAGACAGGACAAGCTGGTAAGTTCCATCCTTGGCCTCCTCCACACCAGGTCCCAGTACTCAGCCCTAGGAACTGACTCCTGATAGTGTTGGCCCAAGAGCATGGGTTCCTACCGCAGGCTTGGAATGGTGGCCAGGCCATGGGGCAAAGCATGACATCCCACCTCCCATCTCAGTCATTTTTGGGTCTTTAGGGGACAGCTGGGTGGTGCTGTGCAGTGTTCAGTATGATGATTCTATGTCGTGTGGTGGCTTCTTTTGCCTGTCCCCCCCAGACCTTCATTGACATGGAAGGATCCGGTTTCAGCGGAGATCTGGAGAGCCTCAGAGTGAGTGGCTACACCCCACACTCAGTGTCACTGGGCACACGTGGAACGTGATGTCTGAGACATCAGTGGGGACCCTCAGGGGTGGGACAAGACTAGCTGGGGGATGTGATTGTTGTCCAGCATGGCTATGTATTCTATGATGGACTATATCTCTCATGTCCAGGGCCCACGAGGCTTCCCTGGCCCCCCAGGACCCCCTGGTGTCCCAGGACTGCCTGGTGAGCCAGGGCGCTTTGGGGTCAACAGCTCCTATGCTCCAGGACCTGCGGGCCTTCCTGGTGTGCCTGGGAAGGAAGGGCCTCCCGGATTTCCTGGTCCCCCGGTAAGTTCTGCTGCCTCCCCTGCCCCAGAGCACTGTCTTGACTAGGAATGGGGTAATGGAGCATCATGGGAGGTCTCTTGCTGGATCTGCCTCAGGACTCCCATGCTCCCTTCTCCGTTCCTCAAGGGGGAGGCTCTTCCCGTTCTGAGTCACTCTCAGGATGGAGATGGGGGTAGGCTACCCTCTGTTTCTAGGGGTGCTGGCCTACTAGTTGACTCTGAGACACACATTTAACCACTCTACACTGAATGGACACGTGAGTGTCCCCAGCACAATCGGCAGCTTCAAAAAAGAATCCGGACAGTGGTTTCTACACTGCCTTCTGAGCCTTGCATGCACCTTGTGGGGGAACGGTTTATATCCTGGCTCTTAGGAAGTCTGGGTAACCAGCTGTTGTCTGCTCACCGTGGATCCTGTCCAGTCCATCTCTTTGTTCTTCTATCCCCCAGGGACCTCCAGGTCCTCCAGGCAAAGAGGGCCCACCAGGATTGGCTGGCCAGAAAGGCAATGCTGTAAGTCAGCTCCTATAGGCGGATGTAACTCAGCTCACACCTGTAGCGGGTGGTGAACACTTCATGCTTGGGGGCTGTGGAGAGTGCATGCCATCCGGTGAGGCCGTGGGCACAGCCTGCATACTCAGCTTAGCAAGAGTCTTAGTGCCGGGGCCAGCAGGCTCAGGTTCAAGTCAGGGTCTCCATATGGTTCTTAACACTGCAGGTGGGCTGGCAGCTTAGCCATTGGTGCTTCATTTGGTCTGAAGAGGTTATTTCAGGCCCCAGTATGGTTGGATTGGTGAAAGTCTTCAGAGGCAGGCCAGCCACTGCTGAGCATGATATACTATGGTCTCGTGCTGCTGGCAGGGAAAGGCCAGTTAGGAGGGAGGCTATCTGGAGAGCTGCTCCAAGAACTTTTTGGGAATGGGATGAGGAAGGCCCACCATTGATGCTGAGCAGCCAAAGGTCCTTTTAAATGAACATCACCCAGAGCTCGTCTCTGTTTTCAGCTAAGCCTACCCCGGCTGCGGAGGTGTTCTGAGAGGCATTCGTGGGAATGGTGGACTTAGATGCTCTGGCCTTGGGCTCTCCTGGGTCCCTTCCTGGCTAAGCTTCCCAGGGGTTAGCATCCCTAAGAGACAAGGGAAGGAGCAGGGACAGGCCCAGAGAACACTAGAGTCAGCATTAACACAAGACAGTACCCTTCGAGGGCAGGTAGTTACCACAGGGCTGTTGGTTTGCTTTTATTTGATTGCTGTACTATATCTGAATTTAGTCTAATCTTGTGCTTTTTTCCCCTAAAGGGCGAGGTAGGCATCCCAGGACCCAAGGTACGAGCTAATTTTCATTTTGGCAGAGCTACCTATTTGATAAAAAGTACCCAGGCAGGGTGTAGGGGGCATCCCAGCCAGTGAATGCATAGTCTCTGTCTCTGTCTCTGTCTCTGTCTCTGTCTCTCTCTCTCTCTCTCTGTGTGTGTGTGTGTGTGTGTGTGTGTGTGTGTGTGTGTGTGTTCAGTTCTACTAATGCAACGAAATCAGAGGTGTTGGGTTGAGAAATGAGCTCCCAATAGGCAGGTACAAGGGAAGACTCCCTGGGAACTCCTGGGGTACCTCAATCAGATGCCTCAGGATCAGAGCTGCTCAATTCATCATGAGCCCCAGGGGCACTCCCAGCAACCACACCCGTTGCTGTACAGGGAATGCTATGCTGGCCCTTCTGTGTTCTGATAGGGATCCTGGCTGGTATTCAAAGAAAGAGCTGGGCTAGTAGAAAAACCCAGTGGGGAGAGAGGAGAGAGCAACGTGGGCCTCCAAGGGTAGATAAATATGTCAGAAGGAGATGAAAAAGAGATGGGCTGATGGGGGCCGAGTCTGTAAATGTGTGCACACACTTGCTTCTCTATACCATACATGTATATCTGTACAAGACACTGGTCATCTGTACTCATGTGCCCCTGTCCATACATGCACTTGTATCTGTGCGCATGTGCGCACACATGGATAAATAAATGAAGTATTTTTTACTGAGGTTAAAAAGGAAGGTGAAAGAGTGGACAGCTGTACTAGGTACCCACCTGAAATTGAGTAGCTACATCCATAGCTGGAGATTCCACACCCACATAGAAGCATACATCCTCATACCCAAGGGCATTTCTCATACTGTCGTTGTCACGTGTGTCTCTCAGCAGCCCAGGAGGAGAGAATGGGTAGTCACAGTTTTCACTTCATAGAAGTGACTTGGCTACCAGCAGGGTACCTGGGGCATGCTGGCCCACCAGGTCCAGCTTCGGGACTGATCTGCTTAGAGTAGGGCCTTCTGAACCAAGACCTTCCTACCTGAGCTCCCTCAGTCTGCTTCCTTGACCTGGTCCCTCAGGTTCCTAGACTTGTCCTATGTACATATGTGCTTGCTTCTGTTGCCCAGGTTCGTCAAAATCACAAGTCATAGTAACACCTGTGTCTATGTTAGCCCAAGTACTTGGTGGCTACAGGTCCCCTGAAGACTCACCCTGAACCTTCCTCTCCCTGTACCTTCCAGTGGACTGTCCTTCCTCCTTACCTGCTTGATCTGCTTCTTGCTGTCTCTGTCCCCAACTGTCAGAGAGTTGGGACCCAAGTTCCAGGCCATTGTACAGCCTGCCTGGTGAAGCTGGCGTTGTGGCCAAAGCCACGATGCCCGGCTCGTGCGCCTGTGACTATCACGAGACACCATTGTTTTAAGTCAGTAAATTGACCGTATGCCTTTGTGGAATGTGATTTACCCCTGCGTTTTCAGATGTTTGAAAAGCATGTTCATTGGGGTTTTGTGTAGCTTTGCTGAAGCCCAGAGCCAAGAACGGTGGGTGAGCTTGTCCTGTCTGTGCAGGGGAGCAAAGGAGACCTTGGGCCTGTTGGTGCGCCTGGGAAGACTGGCATGGCTGGACCTCCTGGGCCAATTGGACCCCCAGGACCCCCGGGACCCCCGGGACCACCAGGACCAGGATTTGCTGCTGGATTCGTGAGTCAATGTGGGCCCCCAGAAAGCCTGGCTATACCCCACAGCTGCCTCCCCTCCTAAGCAGGGCCCAACTCCTCTCACCATGTGGGTGTTGATGGAGGTTTCTGTCCCTCCTGGTCCCACAGCCACTTTGCCCCAAATAAACACACGGATGCTATTTGAATTACAAAACTGTTGGCCAATGGCTAGGGCTTCATATTGACTAGCTTGTATTGCCCCAAGGCTGTGGTTTACCCATAATCCAGCATGTTACTCCTTGGGCAGCATGACATCTCTTTGCGGCTCCTCTCTGCCTTCCTCTCCCCAGCCTTCTAGTCCAGTAGCTCCGCCTATCCCTCCTGCCTAGCTACTGGCCAGTGTTTTATTTATCAACCAATAAGAAATACAGAAAGACATCCCCCATCACTGTGGGTTTCTCCTGTTCCCATCTTGGATGGGTTAGCTCAGTGCTGGATTGGCCTCAGTGTTCTCAAAGCACAAGGGTTTATGCTCAGATGTCCCAGTGTCTGTCCCTTGCTATCCCTAGCCCCTCCACTATTAGCAGCTGAAAACCTGCTATGTAACCCGGGTACAGCTTCCCTTGCACACACTTGGGCCAAAGCCCTGTGACCTACCCCCCACGGTTCGATTACCGCCACCACCAACCCCCCCCCTCAACACACACACACACACACACACACACACACACACACACACACACACACACACACACACGACCCAAGCTCTGCTGTCAGTCATCCACTTTCCTTTCCCCCACCTCCAATTTCCTGGCCTCAGGGAAGTCTCCGTCTTAATAAAGATTCTTCTATGTTCCTTTAGGATGATATGGAAGGCTCTGGAATACCCTTCTGGTCAACAGCCCGAAGCTCCGATGGGCTGCAGGTATTGCCCATGAGCTGGGATCAGAGGAGGGTCCCGGGTTAGTGCTATCCTTGGGACAGCCTCATATAGGACAAGGAGCTGCCAGCAGTGTGGGGATGTGAGCCATTGTACCCTCCACCCCAGAACGACCTGATCACAAACTGTCTGGGGAGAGGGGAGTTCAGGGATGGGGTGGTGGTGGGGTGACAGGTAGATAAGCCCTTCCCTATCTGATTCCTTCCTTGGCTGCAATTTGAAGGAGTGACAGATATATTTGGCCAGAGTAGACTGGAGTTAATGGGGTATTTAGGGGAGTCCCCCACGTTTCTCTGTTGACCTGTGTGTATTTTGGATTATGTCAGCAAAGGACTGAAGTCCCAAAGTCCCCAAATGGCAGGCCTATTATGGCACTTGTGTGCAGGATTGCACAAACTCTATGGCCTTGCCCAGGGTCCCACTTTTCCTTAAGGGTACTGCCCTTCTCTGAGGAGTAGCAATATGTCGAAGTCTTGGCCCTGGAGGACACCAGGCTGACCTCTAGTCTCTGGGGCTACCACTGGCAGATGCTACCACGACAGTAGTCTTGTTATTGTTGTTGCTATTCTTTGAGGTTTTTTTTCAGTATATAGTTTTATTTTAAAGCAATTTCAAATGTAGACAGGTTATAAGGACAACAGAAAGAAATCCCCTATAGATAGCTTTTACAATAGATGGCTCTTCTCAGAGCTTGTGTCGGACCAGGCTCATGCCACGGTTTTTGTTGTTACTGGAGCCATGAGGTTTGGAAAGGACTAATCAACAGGGGAAGAAGCAGATCCAGGTCACCAACACTTGTTTCCTTTATTCCGACAGGGACCTCCAGGGTTGCCAGGACTCAAGGTGAGTGAGAGAGGCCTTCCTTGGAGACCTGCCTAGCAAGATAATACATTGTGAGTTCAGCATGGAAGTTTGCAAAACTCAGCAGGCAGCTTCATGGAAAAATAGCCACATGGCCCTTCCCATGCACCGAGCATTAGTGGGGTCATGGCCTATCTTTCCAAAGCCCCAGGAATTAGGATTCCTGGCTTCACACATCTGAAGCATGCTAATGTTTTGAGGAGGAGCCCAGAACCCCTCTATGGTTCTCAGCTTCAGGGACCAGTTGGGTAGTGTCCCCTAGAGGACCTAAGAGTTTTGTTCTTGGCTTTGTCCTTGGGAACACCAGTCCATAGACTCAGCCCCAGGGCCACCCACCTTCCCTTAGGCTTGAGTCAGGCTCTCCAGGGTGGGGGCAAGGGTGGAGAACAACAGAATAGTCCCCACCAGGGTATCCTGACTTTCTAACTGGCCTCTGCTGTTGCCCTACTTCTTCTAGAATGTTTTTCTGTGACTTACAAAACACTGGATGGACCATTTCAAAGGACTGGATTTTCAGATGGGCCTGTATTGAATTTTTTTAAAGACAGGGGCTCTCTGTGTAGCCCTGGCTATCCTGAAGCTCAACTCACTCTGTAGACCAGGCTGGCCTTGAACTCAGAGATCCACCTGCCTTTTGCCTCCCAAGTGCAGGGATTAAAGGTGGACTTTTTTTTTTATGTTAGAAGTCATTTCAGAGGACTTGTTTCTTATAGTGGAGATGGTGGGACCTGCTACCAGTTTCTATAGTATCCAGAATGATCCAATCCCCATGATACTAGGATATACTTCAAACCTTCCACCAGTGTGGGACCCTGGGATCCTTGGGAGGGCCAGGACATACTGGGTGATTAACAGAGGGGCATGTAGCTTGGTTTGGGGGTGAACCAGCTGATACCCCAAGCTCATAGAACCCTTTGTCCACATAGGGAGATCCTGGAGTGACAGGGCCACCTGGAGCCAAGGTAGGTACTTGACCCAAGGTCGGGGATGGAGAGGGGCCTCTATGGACCAGAACACATGGCCCACAAACCTCATAGACAAGGGTATGTCAGGAACATCTTAGAGGCAGCCTAAGAATAGAAGACATGGAGTGAGACCCCTGTGCAGTCCTGGCCTCATTCTTCCTCTGCTTCATTGTTCCTCATACTTTTGTTTACTTAGAATTTAACATGCCTGATTCAGAGAAAACTACCCAGGTCAAGCCCCTGCCTCAGGGCACACCCCCATACACAGGCACCAGTTGGGGGTAACAAGCTTCCTCCCCTATCCACCTCCTCTTCCCTGCCACCAGTCTCCCTTGTCTTCATCTTCCTCACCCCACAGCGAGATCTGTGTATCCAAGCCGGCAGAAACCTAGGCTACGGGCACGCCCATAGTTGCTGCGGCCTCCTTTCCAAGAGTCCCTGCTGCCTGCCTGGCTGCAGGGCTGACTCTGGCCCTTCCATTTATCTGTCCCAGGGAGAAGTCGGAGCAGATGGAGTCCAGGGCATCCCTGGCCTCCCAGGAAGAGCAGGTGCAGCTGGGTCCCCGGTGAGTGAGAGGGGAAAGCATAAAAGAAGCCCCCAGGAAGAGAACTGGCATCCAAGGTGGCCTTAGAGTATCCTGGAATCTGTGTCCCCCACCTGCTATGTCTGCCCTGTGGAGCCAAATGCAAGTCTGGTCGGGGTTTTGGGTGCCTGTATCTATTCTCCAAGGTTCTAGGAAAACACAGAATCCCCGTCTGCCTTGGAAGTCAGGCCCAAGTAGGCCGGTCCCTGAAGGGACTCTGGTTCTGTCTACAATGACCCATTTCCTCTGTCTCTGCAGGGGCCAAAAGGAGAGAAAGGGAACCAGGGAGAAAAGGTGAGTGTCTGTTGCCATAGGTACACAGTGGACAAAGAGTTGAGCTTCCTAGATCTCAGAGTGAGGAATGCCATCATGCCCCAGCCTCAGGCTTAAACTACCTGGCCACCCATGTGACCTCACAGAGTTGAACAGAGACCTTTAAGTCAGCAGGGGTAGCCCTTAACTACTGTCTACAAACCTAGTACCTGGGCTATGGGTAGGCTCTGGGGTCCTGGCCAGAGGAACCAGCATGGTTACCTCTCTGCCATTGTCTTCCAGGGAAACCCAGGAAAAGATGGAGTGGGGCTGCCAGGCCTCCCTGGCCCCCCAGGACCTCCAGGGCCCGTGCTCTATGTGTCCAATGAAGATGTAAGTATACTGTGGAGTGGGCCGGGGCTCATCCCTCTGTCTAGGAATTGCCCATAGTTGATCTCACTGCCTCATCAGAATGGCATGAGGAGCCCTGGCTTCTCAAGAAAAGGCCATGTTAGCTACCAGCTCTCTCCTTGCCAAAGCTTCTAGGCCTTCTTGGTGGTAAAAGCTACCATTGCCCTTTTGTGGTGCCTGCAGCAACATTTTCAAGTGGCCTAGCCCCACAGTAAATGGGTCCCTCATGGCTCCACAACACAACCCAGGGGCCAAGCTGCTAATTGAGCTCACTTCTCTGCATCAAGAAACCCAAGTTTCTGCGTGTCAGATTCAGGGGCCATGGGAGCTGAGAACGGAGGGAGAGGCTGCCCTAGACAGAGCTAGAGCATGGCTAGGGTGGCAGCTGGGCTCAAATCCCTTCTGGAGTCTAGGTACCCTCAGATGGGGACAGTATAGTCCTGGGAGCAAGGCAGTGAGTGGTCACAAGAGTGCCTGGCTCAGGTCTCCTGCTTCCAGGAGTGGACAGACACCATGGAATTGATTGAAGGAAAAAAAAAAAGATGGCATTTGTGTGAGGCCTAGGGGAAGGCAGGGGCAAGGGCTCTGAGATTGGGGTAGATCCAAAAGCCACAGCTGGTCATCTTCATTCAGGGGACACTGGTATGACAGTGAAGCATAGGAAAAGCCCCCAGCAGGGGGGGATGCTCCCACACAATGAACAGGAACATATGCAGCAGGCTGAGTGTGTAACAGGGCTGCAGGGTGATGCCAGCTGAGTGTGTAACAGGGCTGCAGGGTGATGCCAGCTGAGTGTGTAACAGGGCTGCAGGGTGATGCCAGCTGAGTATGTAACAGGGCTGTAGGGTGACACCAGCTGGGTGTGTAACAGGACTGTAGAGTGACGCCAGCCGGGTGTGTAACAGGGCTGCAGGGTGACGCCAGCTGGGTATGTAACAGGGCTGCAGGGTGACGCCAGCTGGGTGTATAACAGGGCTGCAGAGAGACACCAGCTGGGTGTGTAACAGGGCTGTAGGGTGACGCCAGCTGGGTATGTAACAGGGCTGCAGGGTGATGCCAGCTGGGTGTATAACAGGGCTGCAAAGTGACACCAGCTGGGTGTGTAACAGGGCTGTAGAGTGATGCCAGCCCTGGCTGCTCCACAATGGGAGAGTCTTTCTTAGGAAGGGGGACTCACCAGGAAATGGGTCAGTTGTCACCTGGGCACCTGCAGAGAGAACCCAGGCATACTGCCAAAAACACAGTGGTCTTCTAAAGTCCACTTTGGACGTGCTTTTGTGTGCTTGTGGCTAATGTGATACCAGGTGACTTTCAACTCAAACACATCTTTCTTTTCTTTTCCTCTAATTTTTTTATTTCCCAATGGCCTGGGGACAGAGAGCAGTAGTGAGCACGCCAGGACCTGAGGTAAGTGCCATCTTGCTTCCACGAAGGACCCAGGGGAGCTGGGTTAGACCACTTGTGAGAGCAGTGTATCCTCAGAACTCATGGCCCCCTTCTTTCCACAGGGCAAGCCAGGGTATGCAGGCTTCCCTGTAAGTAGCTTGTTGTCACAGATGAATGCTTGCCCGACAGTGCCCTGGCACTGGGGGTGGGCGTGGGCTGTGCTCTTGGTACACACAGGACAGTAGTGTGGGCTCTGGTGGGGACAGTCACTGTCCTTGAGGACATGATGCTATCAGGAAGATAATGGGAGCTGGAGGGTATAACGCGGTACCCTTGCTATCTATAATTGTTCAGGACCTGAAGGGCTGGCATAAGACCAGGGAGCAACCACCAGGCACAGGATATGGTGGATATGGGGACTAAGGAACATTAGGTTAGAGACCCTCATTGCTATCTGGTCTTTGCTGTAGGGACCTGCTGGGCCGAAGGGTGACCTGGGTTCTAAAGGCGAGCAGGGTCTTCCAGGGCCCAAGGTAAGGGGCTGGGGTACCATCTGTTCCTTTTGTAGTAACCACAGACCTGCTCCAGATCCTATCTTTCCAGGTGATGGCTCCTGTGGCAGGCTGGGCCCTTAGGATACTTGGATGCTGTCTCTATTACCCTAACTCAGAGGGGTCTGGCCATAACCTCCCCATGGCAGGCCAGGACCCCCTTCCTCTGTTTCTGTTTTGGAGCATATCTGAGGCCTATGACTGATCCCTGATCCGTCCTTCCTGTCCTGCCATTTCAGGGTGAGAAGGGAGAGCCAGGTGCTATCTTTGGCCCTGATGGCAGAGCCTTGGGCCACGCCCAGAAAGGAGCCAAGGTGAGAATGAGGTTGGGTTCTCTGACATTGTGAAGACAGCATGGGTGGGGGCGTCCTGACAGAGAGGCAGGATCAGGACACACTCAAACCTCTCCTGAATAGGGTTCCCCAGGCCTCCCATAGCCTGCTTCTGTTCCCCTCCTTTTGCTTCTTGCAACTATCCTGGGTATGTCCTCATGGCCCCCAAACCTGCCAATGGCTTGTATTATCCCTTGGCTGCTGTTGGCTGAGCTCACCTATAGGAAGGTTAGTGATATAAGCCATGGCCCAGTGTGCTCACTCTTCTGCCTGGCTGTTGCCTATGGGCGATGAAGGGGCCCAAGCCTTGCTGGGACCACCCCATGTGCAGGTATCTGTGTAACTGAGGTATCTAGATCTCCTCCTTCCTATGTCCTGAGCCTGCAGGAACCTGAGCCCAAGCCTGTGCTCAGCCGGCAAGGAGTTGTTCTTCAGACTATGTTTTGGGCTTCTACCCCAGTGGGCCTTCCAAGGAGGTGCCAGGGGAAGGGCCTTGGAAACTCTTGGTGACTATCAGGAATGGATTCTCGCTGGCCTGCAGTGTTGTTAGGGAGTGAGCTAACGATTCCCCAGGCCCAGAGAACCCTCTGCTCGCAGAGGCTCTATAGCTGAGTGAGACTGGCTGACCCTAGCTACACACTGTGTAAGTTGGATCCCACAGACTCGGGGCGCATCCATCTTATCTCAACCCAGACCTGGTCCCTAATGCTGGTGTCCATCCTGTCCTGTCCTGGCTAGCAACCTTGGTTGCCAGCCTAGCACATCCAGATGGGTACAAGGACTCCAGGGGGCAGGCGGTGGGTGGGTGGGGTTAGCCATAGCTCCCTGACATACCACTGATTCTCTGTCCAGGGAGAACCAGGCTTCCGAGGACCCCCGGTGAGTAATGTCCTTGTCTGTTACACTGAGCTCATGGCCCAGGATTTGTATCAACTGCCACATTGAAAACATGGGGTGGGGGTTGGTTGCTCCAGATGACAACAGGCAGTTCCTCAAAGATGGCAGCCCTGGTCCTTTCCTGGGATGGCCCCTCCCTCTTCACTAGGAGGCCTCACCCACCCTCCAACAAATCATTCTCTTTGTAGGGTCCTTATGGGCGACCTGGGCACAAGGGTGAAATCGGCTTCCCTGGACGGCCGGTGAGGATTTGGACATAGTGGGTGGAAAGCACCTGGGGCCTGCAGAGGGCTGGGCTTTGGAGAAAATGGCCAGCTGCCCCTCATTTCCTTCTCCTGGGTACAGCAATCATATCTGCGTGGCCAATGTCTTAATACTTATCTGGGCTACGAGTACACCTCATATGACACCCCATAGAAGGCCCTGAGCCAAAGGAGGCTCTGACCTAGGTCCTTCTAGCCAGTCTCCTGCTTCCTCTAGCTTCTGGGCAGGAGTGTGAAGGCTTGACTCTGGGAAGGATGGGGCTATGCACAACCTGCCCAGTGCCCAACAAGCCCTGCCGCTCTCTTCTGTCCAGGGTCGTCCCGGAACAAATGGATTAAAGGGAGAGAAAGGGGAGCCTGGAGATGCCAGCCTTGGGTTTAGCATGAGGGTAAGTGTCCTTCCTATAATGGCGAATGCATGGCTTGGAACACCAGGGAACAAGAATGGCTAGGTCAGGGCCCCTCGGGTCATTCAGCAGGCTGTTTCAGACGGCTGACGATGGAATTAGACATGTTGGTCCTGACAGGTACGCCTGCATACATGCTCAATGTATATGTGAGCACCCTCGCAACTACACATGCACAAACATATCTGCATGTTTCTACACCCAGGAGAGAGAGCCACAGAGCCTCAGGGCATACTTTCTCTGGAGCCACCAACACAGCTTTGTGACTTTTAAAACAGCTGCTGCCTTAGGGACTTATTGAGGATTTTTGTCTCATGGCATCTCTTGCCTTTCCACTGGGGACAGCCACTCAGAGACTCGGGGACTCTCCCCCCAGGATGACTGTGACTCCTGCCTCTCACCTACCTTGCCGAGAGCAGAGGTGGGCATGGAAATCCAGATATAAGTACTTCAGAGAGTTCCCACTCATGATGGTCATTGCTGCTGCTGGGTTCTTGCCGGCCGCCTCCCCGTGCATTAACGCCAACTAACACCATGCAAAATCCAGAGCAAACAGCAGAGCTCGCAGAGCAGCAGGCCAGTCACATCCATCCCATTGGGAAAGACTGGCTCTTGGATTTCATCCTCAGAGATGATTTTTAAAATTATGTTAAATACTGTTTTCCTTGCGGGGAGTGTATCCCTTAATCTGAGGTGCCAGCAAATACACAGATGCTCATAGCCCTCCCCTCACCCCCTGGAGCTATCTTGGGGAAGGAAGGCCATGTAGGGTGCCATCTATTCCTTACCTGGGTCCTCGAGAGGCCCTTCACAGAGGCAGTGTCTCTGGGGGTTTCTTTCCGACCTGGTCCTGCTGCTGCTTTTGCCCCAAATAAGCACACAGAGACATATTAATTATTAAACTGTTGGCAGATGGCTAGGGCTTCTATTGGCTAGCTCTGTCTTAATTATTATGTCCATAACTACTTAATTATGTCCATAACTACTAATCTATATGTTTCTACATGGCCTTATCTTACCAGAGAATGCCTGACGCATCCTATCCTCCTGGTCTCTACATGGTATCCCTTGCCGTCTCTCTCTGTCTACTTTTTCAGAATTCATCTCCTAGTCCCGTCTACCCTCCTGCCTCTACTGGCCAAACAGTGTTTTATTCCACAACCAATAAGAGAAGCATATATACAGAAGGGCATCCCCATCAGAGGCAGTATATGGTTGTCAGAGCTTGGGCCAGGCCGTCCCTTTCTTTGAATACATGAAAATTCAGCTTCCTTTATTCAAGTCAAAGCCTTGAATGACCAAGCCTGTGAGATTGACTAACCAGAGCTTTCTGTCCCTCCACAGGGACTGCCTGGCCCCCCTGGGCCTCCGGGCCCCCCAGGTCCTCCCGGGATGCCCATCTATGACAGCAATGTAAGTGGCCAGAGTCTCACTTTGTGGAGGTTTCTCTCCCATCAACGACCCTGGAATCCTCTCTGGGTATCTCTGGGATGGGTCTGTCGGGTAGGCTGCACCTGGGGGCAGTGGATAAACAGTGAGTCCACACAGGAGTAACTCTGTGGCTTGGCGACATCTCAAACTGGAATGACTTGGGTGCTTAACCCAGGTGCTGGGGACACCCCAATTTCACCAGACTTAGCAAGGGGGGTGACCTATGAGGGCAGGGAAGTCACTGTGACTAGGACACTTGACATAGACCCTGTTCCCCTTCAGTGCTCCTATGGAAAGAGTTCTGGTTTGGCTCTGGAGAGGGGCCCTGGGACTTCTTGCCTTGAGGAACCTGGTAGTTTTCCTTTCTAGAACATTGTCCCTCAGCATACCCCACCCCCATCCCGCTTGTTCTTTGTAGGCATTTGTGGAGTCTGGCCGACCTGGACTACCAGGACAGCAAGGTGAGGGCTCTGGGGCTGCATGCAGAAGTCTGGGGCTCTGGTAGGAAGATTAGGAGAAATGGAGTTGTAGGACTTGACTCAGTTGTAGGACTTGACTCTGTGCTAAGTCTGGCTATCTTGTTCCTGAGTCATGTCCTCAACTTTACCCTACTCCTAATATCACACCCATATGGCATGGCTGTCCAGGGAGTCTAACTAAGGGATCTGGTACTGGGGATGACTACCCAGTATTTCTCAGTGGGTGCAGGAACAGCCCCACCCATCTATCAGTAGGGACATAGAGTAGTGCCAGTATCCCCAGCCACCACAT